GCATCTACCACAGCCAGACATGAAGCCTACAGAGCTCAGAGCCCCACAAAACACATTTTAAATTAGAAAGCAGACAACATACATGATGGTAAATGGTTAAATGATAAAAGAACAATGGATAGTTTTTCCCATTAATAATCACCTTTTATAGATAAATGTATAAACCAGCTGCAAGATGCTTAACTGAACAGTTTCGGTCAGTTCTGAAGGGGTTTTCTTTCATTTCTTTTAGCCTATAAGATGTAAGTCTTTGGACTGGGTTGAGATTAGCATCACCATGTATTTGTAACTCGTTAAATAAAACCAAGATCAGAACTACCCTACATACCACATAGTGAGACCGTGCCTCAGCCAAAAGGGAAAATCAAGTACTAGAGAAAAGCCATCTGACTGAGGCCCATTGGGGAGATTACGGTGGTGAATGCTCTAAAGAACAAGTAACTACAAGGAAAAGGGATGTCTGTCACAACATAAAGTCAATGTCATACAATAATCATCGTCATTAAAATATGGTTACATCCATTCTGAATGTCTTCATCAGAAAAAGCTGGAAATTTCTCCACAGTGCCCATGGATTTGAAGGTTTTTACTCTTTCATCATTACTCTAAATAATAACCTGCTGTTCTAGGAAAAAAGAATCGATCTGATGAGCCAGGGCAGTTAAAATCATTTGCATAGATCTTGCTGGCTGCAGCATGAGATCGGGAGAGAATGATCGACTGGAAAAGGCTCTTTGCACACCCAGGATCATCGGATGTGGTTTTATCCCGGCCTGCACAGCAGCAGCCTTGAGAAGTAAAACAAATAGTAAACCAAGTAGTGCTGCTCACTCGTGCAATCAGTGCACCAGAGCTTCGCTCATCAGCAAAGCACCAAAGTCCTGCCCCTCGTTCGCTATGTGGTTGGGCTGTGGTCAGCGTGAGTTGGAATTGTCTCCTTGCACGTAACAATAGGTTGGGTTCCTCGTCTGTTTCTCTGAGAACAAGACATCAACCCTCCTACATTTGACTCTTTAAAACATCTACCTGGAGGCACAGCCTTAAACATTAATGCTCAGCTTTCAGCAGACTCCTAACGAGCACACACAACTCTTCCCCTTTGACAAGCAGCCTGTTCTGGAGGGTACCTGCAGGTCTTCGTGAGGTTCTTTCTCACCAGCATCAAGTAACACTGATTTGCAGTATATCCAAATAAAAGGCCATATGAAAAGAGTTTAACACCTGAGCATGTATTGGGAAAGGAAAATAGGAAACAAACCCCTGCTGTAATGGGATATGCAAGTTAGAGAACCTCATCTTACAATCCAGCAAGGGCTGCCCTCACACAGACCAGAGCAGCTGAGGCACAAGGCCGTGCACCTCCATCTGCACCTCAAAGAAGGAATCTGCTGACAGCTTGAAGACAAGTCTTTAAGAAAAAAAGCATCAGAAAAGTCCTGTAACATGAATAACTAGACAAAAACACACACCCTCACAACTAACACTTAGCCAGCCAGTGTTCTCATAAACTCTAAAGACACTATGTGAGGGTTAATATAAAATATTTGCTTTCTTTTAGCCTGTTATGTGATGGAGAGATGGAACTGGGTCCAACTATTATTCCATGACAACACAGCTAGTAAGCCTCTGCTCAGTTATTGTCCTGCCTGATCACAGAATGGTTCGAGTGGAAAAAACTAACATTGATCTTAATTATTCCTCTGAGCTCAGCTGCCCAGGAAAACCAGGCTGTGATTTCCAGGCATGAGGAGTGTTAAGAGAAGCACCTTCTAAGAGGAAAAATGCCTATCGATATAAATAGGGTGCATAGCTCAAGATTAGAGGAGTCTCCTTATTTAGGCACATAATAAGTTTAAGGTTAAAGAGTAGAAGTAAAGATGTTGCTTAAATAGTTTTGACACACAGTAAAGTACATTGGTAAATGACAACTGAGAAGTTACACAAATCCTGTAGCTCCACATTATACAACACACTCTTATGAAAAATCTTTCTATATAAATGTTCTACTTTAGCAGTAAACTCAAAACATTGTCCCATGAATTTTATAACCACTCTCCTTATATATATATATATTTCTTATAAATGATGTAGAAAGTGTTTAGAGTAATTCAGGATTAAAATATAGAATTACTAGAATGATGGTTACTCTGAGTAGGATTCCCAGGGCAGAAAGTCTGAGCACTGGGTTTAAACTTACTCAAATGGAGAAATTTGTTAGAAAAATACACGTTTGAGCATTCTTCACACCACTCCTCACATTTGTGCACGTACAGCGGAAGGTCAATGAGCCTCAAGCAGTCACCAAGTGAATTACAAAGTAAAAACAAAGCTAGAAAGCAATTATTTAGCTGGTGGGTAAGATGAGTTCAGACAAACAGTTGCAGTCACTGTATACACGGCTGCTCGACCACTGGGTTTAGGACAAAACATCTTATTTTAGGGATTAGTTGCCTTTGTTTAACAAAATGTACATGGTTACTTCCTTAAAGCCTCCTGCCAAACTCTGCATGGATAACAGGGAGTCTTTACACCGCCAGCACCGAAGATGCTCATTTTCTCTTTCACTTTGGTCCACTCACACAATGTTATGAGAAGGGTCACAGGGTGGGAAACTCAAGCAACTTAACACATGAAAGCACCAAGTCCACTCTTGGCCTGAAAGTCTGTGTGTGATTAACTGAAAGAAACAAAACATAAAAAACAAAAGCATAAATTAAAGTTATGAAAATTAAACAAAAAGCAAAATGTAGTGAAATATGTTAAAAACAAAACAAGGGAAGAGAAGGGCAAAAGCTGCTGAAGCACCTGAAGACCCACGGACAAGAGCAAATCCCACATTGGAGCACAACCTGCCTGGCACAGTGAGGCTCAAGGGAGAACCTCAGCACAAACACTTGCATTTCCCCTTGACACCTGCAATTCATCTTCATTCTTCACCTACTGAAGCTACTAAAAGCACTGTGTTGAAACAGGGCATGATAAAAGGTTCGACCAACTCTCCTGAACATTGAAACAAGGAATCACCCCCTCTCCAAGCTCATGATATACTCCCAGCTCCTGCAAGCTCCCAAGGTCTTGCCCATACACCCAGGATACTCCTCGAGCTCCATCACACCCAGCTCCATACAGCACCAGAAACTCATTGCCCGAAGCCACAGCACCGTGTGCCCAGCTGGGGGAAGCCTCACAGGTTCCGCAGGATCCCCGCTCCTTTTGATGCCTCCCAGAGGAAGCCAAGAAAACACCCAACCAAAAAAGCTAAAAAACCCCAAATAACCCAAACCCCACCAAAACCACATCTCCCTAATTTATTAGTTTTATTGCTGGTGATGGTGCCCCCCTCCAGCCATGCTCTGAAGCTGAAGAGAGCCCCGGCACCACGCAGGGTCCCACCACACTGTGGGTGCCCCTTGGTCCTTCATACACTGCCCAAGCTGCCTTCCTGACCATGGCCAGCTTCTAACCACCCAGAAGAGGAACGGTGTCCAGACTTACATCTCAGGTGGGATAAAGCCACCCAAGCCCAGGAAACCCATTTCTGTCACAGGCAGACAGAGCCGGGGGGAAGCTGCAGTGTTCCTGCCTGGCCACCGCACAGCACAGCACCACTGGAGCATCCCAGCACCAGCATCAATCGATCAAGGTACCAGTGTGCAGCTCAGCGGGCTCACCTCCTCCAAAGCAGCCCCAGCCCCAGCCTGGCTCAGCCCCTAATTCATGGGTGAGTTCAGCTGGATTAAGCCCTGTTTTCAGCAGTATTTTACAAACCGGTTTGGATTCTATGTGTGAGGTGGGACATGCCCAGAGGATGCTGAGACATCTGCAGCAGAGAGTGGGTTTGTGTTGCTTTAACACCAACACACTCACATTCCAAGTAGCCACATTAAATAATACACACTGTTATCTTCCACAGGAAGAGACAAATTACGAGCACAGCAGTGCCCAGAGTGAGCTGCTCTAGTGCTGCAGTTCACAGCAGAGAAGTGTCAGAGCACAAGATCTCATCAGCAACATGAAGCTGAACGTTGTGCTGTCAAGAGCAAGCTCGGGTGCTGCTACTCTTGATGGTCTTGCTCTTCATCACTAGGAGGCTCAGGAGCGTTGCCACCAGCCTGTGCTGGATTTGACAGGATGCAGATCAGACTCTTAAGCTCCTTCCCACAAAAGAAAGTAACAAAAGGTGCTGGAATAACAGAATTACCAGCTTGTGTGACTGTGCTTCTCCTTTTGCTCCCTGGCCAGTGTTCCTTGAAGACTGGCTTGAATGGAAGCAGGATCACACACACACCCCTTTTCTTTTTAAAGTGGTTTGCCCAATTCCTGCTTTATCTTTACACCTTCAGGTGGCTGATGCCGTCCTCTGCATCCCTGCTGGCTTCAGCAATGTCCATTAACTTGCAGCAAACTAAGGTAACAATTCTGCCTTTAGGGAAAAGAGCTTTCTCCTGAGCAGAGCTGTGCCCTGGAGCCCTATTTCACAGAAACCCTCATGAATTTCCAACACATCTCTCTCAGCTGCTGTTTCCTTCTTTACAGCTCTGCCTTTGAAAACAACACGAGCGCACTCTCCACAGAGGGCCCCAAGCCTACAGATGACAGGGGACCACATCTGAGAGACATTACAACTGTGCCAAGATCATCCCACGCCTCTCTGCTGGGGAGAAGATGCAGCTTCTGCCCATCCCCAGAAGCAGAGGGCTGGCAGGATCTTGCTGTCACAGAAGCAAGGGCAAACCCTGTGGGACTCTCAGCCTTTAGAGAATGGCCCTGAAGTGCAAATCCTCCCAAGCTCCAGCCACCAGGGCTTCCCCAGGGCACTGCCCAAGCACAGGAGGACCCCGTCTCTCCTCCACTTCAAGCAGAGTCAGAAGAGTAAGAATTAGGATTCCAAAATCCCCTTTTCCATTTGCTGCCTAAACCACTGACCAAACATTAAAGCATCCCAGCAGACACCCAGCTTCCCGGCAGCAGAGCAGAAAGACTCGAGTTCAGTCACTTACTTTTTCTTGTCTTTGTCCTTCTTCAGCGGCTGCTGTGAGGTAGCCTGCAAGGATTGGGACTGCAAGGTCTCCACCGCTACTTTCCGCCGGTTGAAGGCGTTCATCTCCTCCTCCAGCTCCCTCCTCTTCTCCTCCACCTTCCGTTTCTCTTCCTGGTGTATCCTTTTCAAGTGCTCAAACTTCTCATGCAGCTGAAGGGAGACGGATCCTCTGAGCATCGCACCCAGCACGACCACGGGGCTGTGACCCCCTACCCTGCTTCACCCCACGCGAGTCCCCACCACCCCACAGAGACTGACTGGCTGCTGGGGTCCAGCAGTGCCCCTGCACCGTGCCAGCCCCCAGCAGAGCTGACCTTCACCAAAAGCAGTGAAGACACAATGAATTCGGGTCTGCTGTGAGCTGAATATATCACATATATGGAACCAGTGGAGAGCATAAGCCCTGGTATGTGCACTGAGGATCTCTGCTCACTCTGCAGCCCTGCGAGGGCTCAGTGGACACTGTGGGCTCTTTATTCCTCACTAGTTTTGAGGATGGTCCATTTATCTCCTCCTCAGTCCTGGTGGCTGCCCATGGCCTCACACCACTGACCTGGCGATTCCAGCCCAGCTCCCCCCTTTACTCTGCTGCCCAGTGAGCCCCCAGGCATGAAGTCCACCCGACACGGATGCTCTCCAAAACATCCTGCACTGCCCTTCCCTCACCAAGCAGCAACCGAGTCTCCTACACACAGCACAGGATGGGGAGAGCTGTTGTTTCTGAGGCACTTAAACCAGTGATGCTGTTTTGAAAACATTACCCCGTGTCCCCTTCTCTGAGTGGGGAAAGTGTGTGTGTGTGTTTGTGCTTTGGCTGGGCTGCTCCAGAGCTGCATGTGCTTTCCAGGATTCATATGTTGCCCAGTCCCAGATCCTGTGCTGGCTGCAGTTCGGGCTCCTCTCACAGGTTTTTGGCACACCCACCTCTCTCTCCTTCTCCTTCAGCTCTGCCTCCGTCTCCTTGACTTTGTTAACAAACATTTGTCTCATTTCTTCCTCTTTCCTCTGGAGCTCTCCCAAGAACTCTTTCCTTTTGGTCTCGTATGTTTCTTGGAGGCTGGGGAAGAAAGCAAACAAAATCCAGACTCTTTGGACACCAGTGAGCTAGGGATGGGGAAATGCACATCTGTCTGCATTGCTTGAAGACAAACAGACAGGGGAGGGAATGCTCAAGCTGCAAAGCTCAAACCCAGTGCTTGTATTTTCCAGCCCAGAATTCAGGGTACCACCTATGAACCTCCCTGGTTCGGAGCGTCAGTACCAAACTACTGCTCTACATGGATGCTAGACAGGAAGGCTGCTCACCTGAAGGGCTGGCTGTCAGGATCTGTGTCCTTGAAGCCCATCTCTTCCAGTTTGCACCTCCTGTACAGCTCGTAGTGGCGGGTGTGAGTCTGCTCCCGAAGATCCTCCATGTTGACCCGAATCAGCATTTCCCGCAGCTTCACAAAGTCACAGTGACTTTCATTCTCAACTGATGGAGGCAACGGGAGCACTCAGGAACTGCGCACGCAGCGGGAGCACAACTGCAGATTGACCCCAGACACTCCCCTCCCAAGGACTTCTACCTGTTGTCCCACACAGGGCACAACACAGCCCTTGGATGCAGGGATTCCCACTGACCACTACTACCTGCTGGTAGGAATGGAACAGGAATTCAAAGGAAAGATTGGCCAACCCACAAAAGGCTGCACCGTTGAGCACGGGGCAGCTCCATGCGCACGGGAGGGCAGAGCTGCATGGAGAGGGTCGCCCATGCACACACACGGCAGGTCTGCAGTGGGTCCTGGCTGGCAGCACCTTACCTTGCACCACTCCCCATGGGTACTGCCGAGCTCTCACCAGCTTGTTCCCAACCTTCACCTCCTCTGTGCTGCCGACCACGGCAAAGGGCAGATGAGCCTGAAACAGAGGCAAGGAGAGACTGAGTGCATGAGCTGAGAGATCAGCCTGACCGCTGGATCCCCCTCACCCAGGATCTACTCCAAAAAGTCCTTCCTCTGAAGCTAACAATCTCCAATACTCGGAGCAGCCTCTGCTTTGAACTGGGATGTTACGACAGAGAGCAGCGTAAGGCTGCAGCGAAGCTTATGAGCAATGCTGGCTGGGCTGGATGGGGAAATATTGTAGGAACACCATGATCATTACTGATGTCCCTGTATCCATTTGTCAGGTTGTTCTTGCAGCTCCTTCCCCACGCCAAGAGCGGGGCACTCCCTGCCTCGCAGAAAGCACAAAGACATCCGTAAACAGGCCTTGGCAGAGCAGTTTGTGTGTGGGCACTGGAAGGGACGTGAGCAGGATACAACATGTGCTCGCTGCTCTGCAAGCCCGCAAAGCAGGGAGCCCAGTGAGGGAACAGGGCACTGTCCTCGGCGCTGCAGGAGCTGCAGAGCCGGCGCTTCAGTCGGATGAGGCTCACAAAACCCTTCATGTTTGAGAAGAAAGGGATCCACAAGTGTGGAATTGGTAGGGAAGTGGCCAAGAATATCTTCACTGGGGCACGGACCAAGCAGCCCCGACTCCCCTTTCAGTCCCTGGCGCACACAGCTTGCAATTGGTTTAATAAGATTGTTGTATCCTCCAGTTTTTCATGAATTCAGCAAAAAAAGAAGAGCTATTCTGCTGAAAACACATATCCAGTTGACCCAGAAATCAATTGGCTACTGAAATTTAAAGTAAGTTTAAAAAGGGAGGGCAGGGAGAAAAGACAAAGCATTTAATCAGAAACAGCCATGCAGGAAGATGCTCATTTTGATGGAAAAAGATGCTTTTTAGTCAAAAAAATCAACATGGAGGCATTTTAGTTGTTTCTGCTGCGATAGCTACACTCTGATTTGGGAGATGGGAAACCTGGAAGTGTTTTGCACGTGCTTCAGCCAGGTCTGAATTTGATCTTTGAATCTCAAAAAGCCAAAACAGAGTCTAACCAGTTTTCTTCTTTAGTTTAACCCAGGGTTTCTCTGCCCAGACCCCTTAAGTGAGGAGGTTAATGTGCATCTTAATGGTAAGATTTTCATTCCAAGTTTCCCCCTCCTCATGTGAGAAGCAGCCTCAAAGGTGGAGAGCATGAATTTTATTTAAAGTATTTTTCAAACAGTCAATAAAACAAATTTTAGAGCAGAGTTTCTCCAGAGAACCCACAGATCCAGTCAGAGCCACGTTGTAATGAACTCTGCACACAACAGCCTTGGGCACCTCTCAGATCCTCAGCTTAACTCTCAAACAGATTCCATGTCTGGACAATCCCAGTGGAACTTGCCTTTCAAATGCTGTTTCGTGCAGCAATTATTTGTCACAGCTTTTGGTGGCACCAGTGTGACTGGCAGCACTACTCACATTCATCACCGAGTTGATCTCGGCAACCGCTTCATCGTCCGTAGGGAACTGGTAGATCTGCACCCCATTGCTGACCAGCTCGCTCATCACCTTGATCTTGAACTTGTGCAGCTCGCTCTTGGAGATGGTGTCTGCTTTGGCAATGATTGGGATGATGTTCACCTGCAGCAGAAGGAAGGAAGGAAGGAAGGAAGGAGAAACAAGCCAAGGTGAGCAGCACTGGGGCGAGCAGCTCCGTGGTGCCCGCAGGGTGAGCCAGGTCCTACCCGGGTGACTGCTTTACATCTCACACAGCCACAGAGGTGCTGTGCTTTGCATGAGCTGCAGCACGAACCCAGCTGAACACTAGAGGGAAGAGTTTTCCAGGACTAATTTGGCTACACGATTTCCAGATAAACCAAAGACAAATGAATACACAACGCGCAGATCAAAGCCTCTGCTCGTGCCTGTGCATTTTGTCGTTACACACTTCGAGGGAGGCAGAGGCAGCGTAACTGTCACATCCCCGGTTATCCCCTCTGCGCTTCTGGCTGTGCTGACAAGCCGCTTTAGAAGACAAGCACAAGGATGACACGCTGCAGAGAGCTGATGGAGCCCTTCCCGTGCCTCAGCAGGAGGAGCAGAGGCTGCTCAGATGCTTTCACAGCAGCTACGGATCCTTTCCAAGGACTCCCCGAGCCCCTCTGTGCTGTGTGGATGACACAGCCCCCCTGGGAAGGGTGCAGGGTGCCACACAGCACATGGGAGGTTGGGTGTCCTGCTGCTGTTGCTCAGCTTTGGTTTCATGTAGCAGTCACCAGCACAACACCCTGTGCAGCTTCATCAACACAGGGCTCAAAGGACTCACAAGCTGCAGCGTGGGGAGGTCCCCACCGTGCCCGGTACCTACCAAGATCAAGGGCCACATCGCCCATGCTTCGGGAGGGATGTGGTTCACTCTGAGGCCTCATGCTTGAGAGCTGCAGCAGGGCAGGATCTGCCACAGGAATCTCTCTCAGATAATGCTGTGATACCCAGAAAAGCCAAGTGCAACACTGCAAACCACGGCTTAAACAAACACCACCACGACTCCTCTGCCTGAACAGCAGCCAAATTCATAGCAGCAACACACAAGAATTCAGACAAATGAGGGGAAAGTCTGATTTGCCATCTAACAGTTCCCAACAGCCAAAGCTTTTTGTCCTACAGAGCACAAATTCAGAGCAGCCATTTGGTCTCCAGTGGGTGCCATTCATATAAATAACCGTGCTTTCCCAGCTCAAGTTCTCTTTGTGGCTCAGTGTTTTTTCTGTACTTCTTGTTCCTCCTCCCTCCCTCTGGTTTAGCACCCACTAAATACAAGAGCATTTATTTGCTCCAAAAGAAAATCGTCTTAATTTGCTCATTGCAAATATATCCAAGGGGAAAAATTCCTTCTTTTTCTCAGCCTCTGACCTGGCCTCTTTACCAAGGACCACAAACCCACACAGAACAAGGTCTATTGCTCACTCCACTCCTCAGCAGGTCAGTGTCCTCATTACCAAGGCAAAAAGGGCCATGACCACAGCTGGGTGCCTCACTGATCCGCTAAGAGCTGAGGAGGTTTGGCTCCACCATTTCCCACAGAAAAGGGGTCAGTTTGGGGCTCACATACCACCACCCAGGAGCTGAGTCTCACTGGGGAGGGCAGTGCCAGGGAGCTGCTGTGTGCTGGGCTCCACGCTCTCCAGCCAGGCAGGCACATTGACAAACCAGCACAAGGGGTGCGTTTAGTCCATTTTCAGCTGACCTGCACAATTCATAGAACCCCAGCCTGGTTTGGGTTGAAGGGACCTTAAAGCTCCTCCAGCTCCAACCCCTGCCCCGGGCAGGGACACCTTCCACTAGAGCAGGTTGCTCCAAGCCCCTGTGTCCAACCTGCCCTTGAACACTGCCAGGGATGGGGCAGCCACAGCTTCTCTGGGCACCCTGTGCCAGCGCCTCAGCACCCTCACAGGGAAGAGCTTCTGCCCAAGAGCTCATCTCAGTCTCCCCTCTGGCAGGTTAAAGCCATTCCCCTTGTCCTGGAATTACGACCCAAGGAACTTTGTGCTGCAGACAAGACAGTGAACTCAAATGCACACCCATAAAACCCACCTCCTCCTCAAGTCACCAAGGGCAGGCAATTGGCTACAGCTCATAAACAGCACTGGAAACCATCCAGGACAACAAGTGGGGAGCGCCGGGATGCGCACAGCAGCACACAGCTGGGCCCCGCTTCCAGGGCAGGGCTGTGTTTCACATCAGTACATCGCCTTCTCATCTGATACAGACACAGTTTTATCTATCCTCTCCCTTCCCCAGGTTAAACCCAACGGAAAGCCAACCCCTGCCAGGCCCTACGTGCTTCCCACCCACCAGCCATTCCATCTACCCAGAACCACTTCTGAAGATGCTTCCAGCTCTGTGGCTGTAACTGAATACGCTGAGAGCAGCTGGCCATGAGCTCAGCCAAACAGATGATGTATTGCAGCACAATGGAAGGTTCTGTTTACAAACCAGCTTACTCAGAAGGGACTTTGTAAACTTTGCACTAAAGGCAAGATTTGATATTGAAATCATCACACAGATTCAAAAGCCTGCCCAACGCCTGGTGCTGTGCCATGGGGTGCTGAAGCAAAGGTGTAACCGAGCATCAAAACCCTTGTTAAACTAGTCCCAGAGGCTGAGTCAGCAGAGCACACTGCAAAGCGCTGCCTCTCCTACACCTTTTGTCTCCATGGGCTCCATTCTCCAACTATAAAACAGAGGCCACCAGCCACCCACAGCTTCCCAAGGGGAAAGCCAGGGTCAGGTGTGCTCACAGGGCTGCAGCCACCAGTCATCTCCCTTCTATGTCACCACTCAGTGTCAGCGGTGTGGAGCAGACAGAAACCTGGCTGGGGTCCGCTGACACCCCGCTGCACCCTGCCCCAGGCACAGCGGTTCACGTGCTCTGGGAAGGGGGCTCAGCGCTGCCGTGCACAAATCCTGGAGTGCCCGGAAAGCACCTTGATGTCCTGGGATGAGACCGATGCAGAAATGCAACATAAACCCCTGACACACAGACAACATCAAGGGGTTGCTTATTCATTTCCATGGTCCTCCTTGTGCAAAGCCACCACACCACCAAATCCAAGACGTTCTCACACTGCGGTAAGAAGGGAAATGAGAGCAAAGGGATAAAAAGACTCCAGAGAGGATTATTTAAGTGGAAGTTTAGAAATATAAAAAGCCTGCGTGCGCACAAAGTCCTCATCTCTGCACAAGTACAAAGGATTTATTTTGGTACTACCCAAGGACCACATTAAAGGCAGCCACAGGGAGATGTGAAAAGTAGGGAATGCAGAAGGAGAGGAAGGGAAGAGCTTTGTGGGACCACCAGCACCAAGGGGAATCGTGCAAAAGCTTTCCTCCAAACATATTTCTGGGGATGTGTAATGCTGGCACCACACCAAGAGACAAGAGTTTATTGAGGGAAAGTTTCTGGATTCCTGATGAAGTCAGTGTAACAGCCACCAGGGTTACAACAGCCCACTGCAATGGGAGGGCAGTGCCTGCTCTGAGTGGAGCCAGGGGAAAGCAAGCCAACAGCCGCGGGTGGGAGGCCAAACAGCAGGGACTCTGCAAGGGGAACTCTACCCGGGGGACCCCCCGTCACTGCAGGCTCTCAGCACCTTGCCTGTCCCCTCTGCAGGCTCATCAGCATCTGCACCTGAGAGGAACCACCTTGCTGCTAAAACACTGCTCTGAAAGATAGGAAAACCTTGTGAAGAGGAGGTGCTGCTGCCACTTGTGACCTTTGAAGCCTCCTGCAGCTCCCTGGAAGCCAGCAGGAACAAGCAGAAGTGTGTCAGAAACCTCCTCGGAGCTGCAGGAGTATCAGTGGTGGCTGGTTAAGTAACCCACTGCCCCCTAAGGCAGAACAGCCTGTGCCGAGCAGCCTACCCCCAGCGCAGACCCTCTCACGACCCACTTTTCAGAGTCTCTGACCTTGGGGATTTCTCACCGTGCTGACATCTTGAGGAGATCCTGTGATCTCCTGTGCAGACCGCCTGGCACTCAGAACACACCCCTACCTGGGTACCTGCAAGGAGCAGGTAAGGAAGGTGCAGCTGATGGCTTTGGTAAAGATGAGCTAACCTGGGTAGGATTCTTACAGTGGGGGGACACTGCAGACTTTACACAACCGGCCGGGAAAACAGGGTTTGCACCTGATATTCTTGAGGAAAGGCAGTGAGAAAACAAGCACAAGACCTCAGGATGGACGAAGTTTTACCGGAGTCCTACAAACAGCCCAGCTAACGTGCGGGAACGAGTCCAGCACTGGCACAGCAGCAACACACACTTCCAGGAGGACGGACCGTGGTCTCCAACCGCTCACCTTGCTATCGAGCTTCTTCATAGTGACCAGGTCCAAGGACTTGAGGGAGTGGCCAGTGGGGGTGATGAAGTAGAGGCAGACGTGGATCCTCGTGTCGTGGTAGTTGAAGAGGGAGCGGCGGATCTTCAGCTCCTCTTGCAAATAATTTTCAAACTGCGTATCAATGTACTCAACTATCGGCCTGTAACTAAAACCAGACCATTAGCAAGCCAGGCCTGGGGCACGAGCGCTTCAGGGCTTCTCCAGACACACCACTGTAAAAGCAGCCGTGAGACTCAACCGATGCAGCCTCACAACACAAGTGCGGCGTTTACACACAGACCTTCTAAAGCCGAAGGTTGCGGGAGCCTCCTGGGGCTGCACTGAGAAATAAGGACACTGGGGCACAGAAAGACAACTACTCCCCCAGACCTACCTTTGCCCAGACCTCAGGGCTGAGCCATCTGGCTGCAGCACTGCAGCATGACCAAGGAGAGACCTTGGAGTCCCAGAGTGCCTTTACCTGGGGCTTGAACAAGATGTCTGTGTAATTAAATGAGACAGGTCCAGAGACACTGGCCAGAACAGATAATTCCCAACCCTGCACTGAGGACAGCTTGTTAACTGCTCGTGCTCCTGGAGGACACCATTCTCTGCTGGACAGACCTCCTGTGACCTCTCTTTTTGGCTCCTCACCCAATTCACTCTACACTTAGTCCCCAGAACCAGAACCACCGCAGGGAGCTACTCCATTAACAGCAACACGGGCAAGCAGGGCTGCAGGCGCTTCACGTCTAAGCACCAGAGGCAAGCCCAGGAAAGCCAAGCAGATGGCCCGAGACCTGCCTTTCATCTTTGTTTATCTGGTCCCCGAAGCCAACCGCATCCACAATCGTCAGCTTCAGGTGCACGTTGCTCTCCTGCAGGTCGTAGGTGCGTGGCCGCAAGCGGACTGCGCTCTCGTAGTGACTGGCTTCCTCCGTCTCGAAGGTGGTGTTGAAGAGGGTGTTCATTAGTGTGGATTTCCCAATGCCGGTCTCACCTGGGAGGGAGAAATCATCAGCTCGCTGTGGCATGAGCCGTTCACAGGTACTTCAAAGGACGCTAATTACAGAGCAGAACAAATGACACTGAGAGAGGTTACTACAAATTGCTGCTGTGGACAGACGTGTAATTCTCACAAAGGTAACTGCATTCTTGAAGGCCTCCCATGCTTAATGCAACACTCACACAGAGCACTCTGCCCTCCTCTCCCCAGCAAGGACCACACAGCACAGCAAAACACTGTTTTCCTTTGGAGAAAATGATCCCTGGAGAACCAGTAAGGGCAAGATCAGGAGAAGTTTCCCATCTGCAGCCCCTGGATGCTGAAGGACACCTGGGAAGCATCACAAACTAAGCCCTATCCCAGAGCTCAAAGGCATCTGTGATCCAGAAAGGCTTTGAACTGCTGCTCCTGGTAACTAAACTAGGCTGATATCTTCCAGACTGGCCTACAAGGGGCCACATTTAAACTCCCCATTCACTACATGCAGCCCTACTGGCTAAGGGAATGAAGAGAGGCAAAATCCAAGGAAATACCCTACTCCCCGTTCATTCCCACGCAGTCTTTTGTGTGACACCTTCAGCAGAGACAGTCACTGCCTCCTGGACCTCCGAGGAGCCCTGAGGTGCATGTGGGAGAGCAGGAGAGCCAGCAAGCGCTGCCCAAGGGAGGTGCCTGCTGCCAAGGGGCTGCGGCTTTTTGCTTCTTCAAGGCCTAGATTCTGCTCTGCGCTGCCGACTGAACACCTCACGGGGGTCAGAGCAGGGCAGGGGCACACGCCACGTCCCGCCGGCTGTGGCCAAGAGCGGCGCAAGGCAATAACGCAGCCTGGTGCTCCAGGCTGAGCTGAAAGGCGTCGTGTGGAGAACCGACCACTGGCATCAGCCGCATCCTCCAGAGCCGTATCCTCTTTGGGCAGGTTGAGGGCCAGGCAGGGAGCTGCTGTCTCTGGATGTATTTCTGCTGGTCTAGCAGGTTACAATACTGCAGATTCATACCCAGCACAAGAACCAGCCAAAGTAAAAGTAATGCTCCTCTCATCTCTGGAAGGAATTGGTTTGTAGTGCTCCAGCAGCACCGCCTGCTCACGTCAATACTGGAGTTAAAAACCAAGCACATAATGAGGTTATTTCTTCTCACAACTGCTCTCAAGCTTCCAGACAAATACTTTGCAATCAATAAAACCAGGAGCGCTCGCTCTCCCTTTCCTAGCACAGAGGTGATCATGCTTCCAGCCCTTTGACTCACCTGGGAAAGCACCAACCAGGCACAAACCTCACGCCAGCCACCCCGGTGTGCAAGTATTTAACTTGCCATTTCTCTTAATCCTTCCTATGGCAAAGGTGCTGCAGCAGCTCGGCAGAGATGGGCAACACCTCACTGATGATGGAAACTCTTGTGGTTCCAAGGCTCAGCCACGGGACCTCCCTGCCTCTCCGCAGCTTCTGCACCAGCAGCTCAGCCCAATGCCGACCTGGATGGCCCCACACCCGTTCCCTCCCCCACTTCCTCACCGAAGCAGAAAGTTGATCTATTTAAGCTTTTTCCCAAACTCTCCCTAATTTTGGGCAATGAGTCTCCGACACCACGTGTGAAAGTCCCAACTGGAAGCATCAAGCTCCAGAGAGCTCAAGTTCACTGAAATTCAACCCTGTTTTTTAAAGACTTGGGCATTTTGGCCTTGCTTGGAGTCGCCGCTGAGGCTGTGGCCCCGCGCAAGGAATGGACCCCGGCCCCAGGCTCAGCGCCAGCCTGTTCCATGCCCGGGTGCGGAGGCCGGTGCGGAGGACAGCGCTCACCCACACAGAGGATGTTGAAGCTGAAGCCCTGCGTCACAGACTTGCTGACCAGCTGATCCGGGAGACTGTCGAAGCCGACATGGCCCCCCAGGGAAAGGTTCCTCTTCTCTTCATTCTGGGAGGGAGAAGAAGCCACGTTAGCGAAGTGCACGGCGATGGGAGATCCCATGGAGGAGAGGGACCACCAAACCCAAGAAACACCCACCACCCACTGCAGAGCCACCGGCACAAACCCTGCTGCTGCCTGCAAGAGCTTGTTTTGGCACAGCACAAACCCGACAGCCACCAGCACCGTGAAGAGAGGGGAAAACACTGGTCTTAGTGGGGCTTTGGGAGGACTGACCTAACAGGCTACAAAGCAAAGCAAACACTGTCGCATGAGCTCCAACTGCACGCAGCTGGGAGAGATCAGCAGAGGAGCACCCACCACGCTGTGTTTTAGCGCTCAGTTCTCCTCCTCCCCTTAACTTGTGTTTTGTTAAACCCTCCAGCGCTGAGCTCAGCTCCACAGACTCCGCATCCCCCAAGTACTTCAGCCTTTTCCTTTGCTATTGCCATGAGCAGTTCGCTCGGGCATTCAGGGGTGCTGCTCGCACAGGCAGGGCGAGGAACCCTCTTGCTTTACCATCTGTGACCACAGCTTTCCACCTTTCCTCTGCTGTTCCTCTTCCTGCCTCCCCCCATGCACTTGATTCTTCCTTCTGTCTCCTCCCTCCCCCAGAGGAAGCTGATCACCTGTAGGAAGCTTTGCTTGGAAACCAAGACAATAAACATCCGAGGAGACAACAACACGTCTGTGCCCTGTGTTATACGGAAAAGCTGTATAAGACCAGGTCAGCTGCAAAGTCCAGAAGGGAGGAGTTGACTGAAGGGTAATTTCTGCTTCTAGTGGTTAAGAACAGGAGAGTTTGGATTTGCAGAGGTATTTCAACAGACACTGCCACCTCTCCACACAGCTAAACACCAGGTCTGAACCCAGGGCTGGACCACAGCCCCTGCAGCCTCTGAAGCACTCCCATCCTTCCACGGATACAGGACTTCGGAGCATGGTTCAGTCACCCGCACAGATTCCTTGGTAAATGACTCTTTCTTTCTTAATCACCAGCACCCAGTGGAAGGTGGGGGTGGGAGAAGTGTGTGCCCTTTGCCTGGCTTTGGTTCTCCTGCTTGTCCCTGACAATTCGGGCTTAAAGACTGCGAGACAAGAGCCTAAGCTGGCTGCCAGACTTGCGAGGAAAACCAAAGTCAGGCCATGCTAAGCCCTGTGCGTCGCTCTACGCCTGCAGTGAGGCTGCTCAGCAGAACACAAACCTTTGTTCATCTGCATCTCCCATCAAAGCTCCCTTAGTTCTGCCTTTGGTAGAACAAATATTGTCAGCTTTGTAAAATAAACCATTTCAATCACAAGGACAACACGTGAGCAGCTGGGGCAGCTCCAAGGCCTCACGCACAAACCTCCCCGGTGAGCTCTTACCACTTCCAGCTGATTTCAGCCCAGCGCTCGCCCAGGGGACTCCCTGGACACCAACACAACCAAACCCCAGCTGGGCTCCTGCGATCAATTCAGCGTCATCCCAGCAGGATCGATCGTCGCTCACTAAGCGGAAATCACAATCACTTAAAGTTTTCCTGGGGGAGAGGGGGCATCAAGTAAGGATTTATGGTGGCCAAGAGTTGAGGTGAGTTAAAAGGGGCCCCTAAGACAGGGAGACCTCAAAGTTCAGCTTTCTTCTGTTCATCTGTCACCACAGGGAGATGTTAAAGCCCAGACTGACACCTCTGCAGGGGGGACCCCAAGGGCAGGGTGAGTCCGTGCTGATCCAGGCAGCCCAGTGCCGGACCATGGGTCTAGCACAGGATGGTGCAGCTGCACAGGGATGGGGAACTTGGACACATGGGGGCTCAGTGTTGCTCAGCTCTGGTTTTCCTCTTAGGAGGAGACTGTCCCAAGGCATGGGAAGCCACTGCACGGCTGGGGGGCTTCCTCAGCCCCACTTGTCCTCCTCTCCCCTCTTTGAGCCAGCACACAGGGAGCTCAGCGCACGGCTCCCAGCACTGCGGCACGGGGACAGCCAGGCTGCTCCCACAGAGAGCCACCGAGTTTCACAGTTACACTTTTGTGTCTTTTCATTGTAAATAACTAACAAAACCAAGCAAACAAAACCCCCAAACCGGAGAGCCGGGGATGACGTTTGGATGGGAAATAAATAAAGGCTGCTGGTGGCTATGATTAGGCTGCGAGAGCCCGAGGCTGGGAGGAGGTTTCCAGGCAACAGGCAGCACCAGTGCTCCGCATTTTAAAATAGGCTCCAGCTCGGCAAGGCTGCGCTGAGAACTGAGCCGCGCCGCGGCCGGAGGGAACCCAAATGTGCTCACACGGCGCGTGCTTCTCTCGGCTCCTCTGGCGTTTGGCCGCTGTTTGGTCAGGACAAGAATACCCTGAACTCAGAACTGCTGCGCTGCTCTGAGCGCTGCCGAGCCTTCCAGGCAGCTCCGGGGAAGGAGTCTTTGACAGTGACCTTGAAATGCAGTCGCCTTTCCTTTCTGTGAGCAGCCATAAGAACCTGGTTCCAGTTCAAGACTCTGCCGATACTGAAGCGGAGAAGGATTTGCTGCGCTTGCACTGCCTTCAGCTGCCGCTCAGCTCCAAAGGATTTTGCTATTGTTGCTGTGTTAGGACAAACAACTGCTGGAAAGGAGCGAGGCCAACAAAAGAAGGATTAAAAAAAACAGGTTTTGCTGTTTTATTCCTTCCCTCCGATCCCCTGAGCTCACGGACTTGACAGCCTTGTGAATACAACCAATGCTTCTGCTCCCTTGTGTTGTTCGGTGCTTTCCTAGATAGGAACTGGTGCACTTATCCCTGCATCAACCTGCAGCTGATTCATGAGTCTCACCGCCAGTGACTAACCCCTTTGGGCAGCTCCTGCTCGCCCAGGGCAGCGCCAGCACAGCCTGACATGGTTCACCTGCTAGTAAAGACATCAGGGTCACACTCAAAACTGAACTCCTTCCAGCAGCAGCAGCAGCGAGGCTGCAACGCTCAGCATGAATAATGCATCCAGAACACAAATGGTGCCATACATGAGGGCAGCAGTAATGCAGCAGTGGGGGGCGGAGGGGGGGGAAGGTTGTTGGGTTTGGTTTAGACAAAGAATTTCAGTAGGACTCTCTCCCTGTTTGGTGTCCTGCAGGACAGGAGCAGGCGGTTACGTGGCAGAGCTGGATGGGATCAGCCATGGCGAGAGCACAAACACAGCCCTGCCCTTTCCAGTTGCACTGGTCTCTGCCACGCTCCCACAACACCCGGTGAGATTCAGGTCTCTCATCTCACAGCCTGGAGAGAGGAATCTCCTGCTTCTCCCCAGGCAAGACCCCGTCCTGGGGCTGCAAACAGCCACAGGGCAGCCGACCTGCCATGAAGCCCATTTGATCATCTCACAGGATGGTAATTACGAGCTTGTGATGGCTCCGAGTGCCAGCTCCCACCAAAACCAGCCAGTGCAGCCCTGAACATCGCTTCCTGGGGCACTAATGATCACCCTGTGATGGGCAGCTACCAGGGTTTTACTTCACAGGGAGCCTTTGTACATGCTCTTTGAAGATGTTCTGTGCCTTGAGCTGACCTTCAGGGCTTGGATCAGAGAGACAAGGGGATAATTTGTATTTTGAACCTGGATTTCAAGAGGAAACAGAACATTCATCAGAAGGTCACAGCAGAATTTGTTAATTTTCAAATGCAAACTCCTCTTAACCATTGTCACTGATGCTCTGGGTTGAGAAGCAGACTCTGTGAAGGCAACAGGCACACAAATGGCACGGCCACGGGAACAGCCGCCATCCCAGAGGGAAATCAATCTTTGGCTCTGTTTGACAGCTACGTCACAGGACCCTTCTCCTGGCACGCAGCGGACAGGCAGACGTGCCCTTGGAGGCACAGATGGCCACACTTAGCTGAGCACCACAAGAACCAAAGAGAAACCTCCAAACACAGTGCTTCAGACCTGCTGCGAGGCACCAGCCACCCCGGCTCCGGGACACGCTCCGCCGGAGGCTGGGACGCATTTGGGATGCACAACGTCACACTGGCCCATTCCTGTGGCCACACCAGCACGAAGACACCCAGGAACCAAACCCAGCACTTCAAGCCCAATGCAGCTTCCTAAGGCCATACACAGCAGGGTCCCACAGACCATGTCGTGCAGTGGGGCTGCGGGGTGGGAGGAAGCAGAGGCAGCATCGCTGCGGGCAGCTGGCCACAAACCACATCCATAGAAGATTATGTGTTATTTGGTCCTTCATTGCAAGTGAGGCAAGAAAAGGCATCAGAAAAACAGAGACACCAAATCCAGACCCCTATAAGAGGGGCAACACAGTATTCACACATTAACTGGGCTCTTCCTAGTAGACAGAAGGATTACAGAAACCTGTGAGGCTGCAGCACCAAGCAGTGTGCCTACGATCCTTTAAAAACCAGCAATCTGATCACAGCTTCTCTTCATGCTTCACCTCCAAATTAGCATCGGTTTCACTTTGCGTCATTACATTTTCAGCACCTTCTCCCAGCAGAAGTGCCTCTGTCACTTGTGCAAGCCACGGGGGATGGCAGCAGCGAGGACACCGGCTCTGTCCTGCCTGGGGCTCCCGGTGCAGAGCGGAGCAGCTCTCTCTGCTTTTAGATGAGCTGCCCCTGTCGTCCTCCTTCCTCTCACACCAGGAGCAGCATGAACAGACTGTGACATCAGTTGTTAAAATAAAGAAAGGAAGACATCGAGAAGTATCATCTTCCAACTGAGCTCCACATGAAATGCTCCTGGTGACGTGTGCTCGTGTTTTCTGCTTGAGACAACGCTCAGCTTTGGTTTCCAGAGCTTTTACACACTCACAAGACAGCAAGAGGCAACGACACAGCACGTGCACAGCACCTTCCCGTGGTGCTTCAATTCCCACTACTGAGGCACACTTTTGTGCATAAATTCCTCAATCCTGGATGACACCTTGACCTTTAACACCAAATCCCCCAGGACTCTGCTGCTGGAACCAGTCCGTTCCCTCCCCACCGATGC